TCCTAGATGATGATAATCTTGGGAGTGATTTGCGCCATCATCCTCATCATCATCATCGGTGAGTGGGGCAGGAGTGGCCAAGGCCCTTTCCCCGGAGAGGTACAGGTTTTCCCTGTGGATTCTGGGTTTTGAAGGTCATTAGCCTAGTTTTTACTCTTCAGTGAAAACACATTTTGCTGCTATTGGCAGTTCCGATTCATCTAGAGCCAAAAAACTCGGCTGTTGTATAGCCTTACTTTGCCTGGTTCTGGGTAATTTCTGTTAAGATTTTGAAGATAATTCTACTGGGTGGGTCCCTGGTGCTCCACTGAGAACCCTTTGGGTCTAAGAGAGCCCAATCTGGGGATCCTAGAACTGGGGAGTAGAAGACAGTGAGGGTTGAGGGGCTCGGGTGCGACCAGGAAACCAAGTATTCCACTCCTTGATGCCCAGTGGATTAAAGGTTCTGTGACCCTTTGTCCTATTATGGAGTTTACAAACTCTTAATACCCACTTGTCAAGTTCCCTTTGTTATATTGGTGAAGAAACTGAGGCTCAGAGAGGGGAAGGGTTGCCAGCCAGCTGGGGAGTGGGGAGGTTTGGAACAGGGCCAGGCCTGACACACTGCTTTCTTTCTCTTTCTACCCCTCTCCCTCGTCCTCCTCTCGCCCTCTCTCCACAGTTTACTTCAGCACTTAAATCCCTGAGGAGTCTGCCCTGCCTAAGAAGGGCCTCTCTCCCACCCCCAGCCGTTCCTCCACCTCTCAGCCATATCTTTCAGCCCCCCTCCCTTGGATCCGTGTGTGTGTGTCCGTGTGTGTGCCCCCTGTAAATAGCCAGCTGTTATTTATACATATATAATATTATATATATTTGGTCTGTTTGTAGTTTTATTACTAGAAGATTTTTTCCGGTTGTCCTTAACACCCCTTCCTGAGGTTCCCCTCACCTCTCTCTCTCATCCTCTGTCCCTTTCCTCTTTTCCTGATAGCCCCAAGTCCCCTCATTTGCATCTGCTATGCAATAGCCCCGCTCCTCCTTCCCTTGGATTTAACTGGCCCTTCCCTAGCTTCCCTGTATAATTCCTGACCCTCCCAAAACAAAAAGCAAACTCCACAGAAACAAACAAACAAAAACTCCCACCTGTCCAGGCTTCCCTAGGTTGCATCTTTGTATCCCTTGGAAGGCTCTGAGACTGGTCCCGCTTGGTCCTAAGAATTCCAAGGTTTTCTGGGAGCTTCCAACATATTAATTAGCATATCATTTACATACCAACATTTTTTGTGTTTCCTTCCTTTTTGTTCCATCACTCTTCTCTGTGTTTTTTTTTTCCTTTCTGAAGAGTTTGTCTCCATTGGTCCTCTTATCACACTTCATTTGCACGACATTACCTGCAGGTGGTGGGGAGCCTAGGCTTTTGGGGAACCAGGCTGCTCTGGGCCCCAGAATTGCCCCTCCCAGCCCCTCTAGTCTAGTTTACCCCCCTTCCCCCTTTCCCAAACCTCTTGTACCCTTCCCCCCCCCCCCCCCCAGCTGGTGTGTGTCTTGGAGTTCAGTGTGTTATGATGGACCAATAATTCTGCCACTTGGGGTCTCTCCCTACATTCCTGCTCCCCAGTTTTCATGTGGGGCACTCAACTGACATTCCCAGGGGGTCTCCCTCGCTCCCATCTGCCTGATCTGCCTCCTCCTCCCACCAGGAGAATTGGGGGCTGACCACAATCTGATTCCTTGAGGAGGGGTGGCTCCGGTGTGTGTGTCATCACTGCCTTGGGGAGGAGTAGGACAAACTAGAATCCCCCCAACTCCTGCCTGAAATCTCTGGTCTCTTCCTTGCTAGAGGTTGGACTGAAAACTTTCCTCCCCAATCTGAGGGGGGGGGTGTTGCCCCCCCATCACTGCCCAGCTCCTTTGACTGCCCCCCTGTATTCAGGGTGGGGGTACTAGTCACTGCCAATATGTGTATGGGACTTGCTGGATGGTGGGGATCCTCACCTTTCTTCAGGGCTGTTAAGCCCAGAGAGAGAGGGGGAGAGAGAGAAAGAGAGAGAGTGCAAGCTATTCCCTTTTTGGATGAAATGATAGAAGGATCTAGTCTTTTAAAATGGCACAGTTTTAGGGGTCTGAGGATACAGCCCCTTAACCTACCACGGCGGGGGGGGGCGGTTGTCCCCAAACTCTTCCCCCACACACACCAGGTTTTCTATGTGGAGGGGAACCAAGGAGATCTAAACTGTGGTGTGAAAGGGTAGGAGAGATGCTGGGGGTGGGGGTGCTTGTGTTCTAGACCCCCAATATTATCCCAGTGTCCCCTGCCTTCCTTCTTCCCCTACCCCATGCCCCCAATTCTGTGGCGCATCCAGATTGTGAAAATGTACAATAAACGTGTAATGAGTAACCAGGTGGTGTCTACAGTCTTTTTCTTAACCAGGATTAAGAGTATTGGATCTTCAGGTATAATGGAATGGGGTGGAAAAGATTCATTGGGAGGAGCTGGCCTGTTGCTGGAGGCCATGACCCCATTTGGACCCTTGCAAAGTGTGATTCCCGAAGTGGCCATGTGGGGCACTAGGAGATGAGAATCACTAAGGAACCTGGTGTGTCTAAGCCAGGTGAACTCTACAGCCTGAGGTTCCCAGCTCCCCACTCCCTGGCCTGGAGTATACTGCTACCATTGAATTCCTGGCTATCCTCTCCTGGGCTGCTCTGTGGGGGCATTTCGTCCCCTTTCCAGCTCAGCGCCAGACATCCAGATGAATGCTTGACAGATCAGCTTGATGAGACAAAGCCAACTGTGGTATAAAGCTGGCTATAGATAGCATATTACCCTTGCACTTTGTTCTGTGATTGTCACTTTAGCCCCTTTCTTGAACTCTTCAAAGCTCTGTAAGTATCCCTGCCCCCATATACACACTTCAGGAGCATCACTGAGATGTAGCTGTGTAGGAAAGAGGCAGTGTTTTCCTCTGTGTTCAGGGCATAAGGGACTAGTCACTGCCAGTGTGTGTGGTACTTGCTGGATGTTGGTGATCCTTACCTGTCCAGGGCAGTTGAACCTAGAGAGAAGTAAGTATAAGAACCACTAGAGGGCCAGGTGTGGTGTGCCTTTAATCAAGCATGCGGCCAGCCTAGTCTACATAGCAAGATCCTGCCTAAATAAAAATAACTTTTTGGGGGAGCGGGGAGACAGGGTGTCACTAAGTAGCTCTCACTGCCCTGGAACTCATTATGTAGAGCAGGCGGCCTCGAGATCCAAGTGCCTCTCTGTCTCTTTCGTGCTGGGATTAAAGGTGTGTGCCACCTCACCTTGCCAAGAAATAAGAACTATTAGAGGCATTATTAAAAATAGATTTTTTAGGCCCTTACATTGAAGATTATTTCAGAGGGTCTAAGGTGCCCAGGTGTCTTGTATTTAGCAATACTTTATCCTAACTTCCTTTATGGAGAGTTTAAATATATTAGACTTTTTGCATTTTAATCCCTGAAATTACTTATAGGTTTAAGCTTTCCATAGGCTAGCGACATACCTTCACGGTGTCAGAGCTTTTCATCAACATGTTAACATGGGAATTTTGATTGATTATGTAACCCCTGCATCTCGTCTCTTGTGAGGTTATGAGGAGTGAGCCGGCCTTGGCAAGAAGTGTCTGGCACAGAAAACAGATAGGAGGCGTTTGTCATTTTCACCATCATCGTTATGCACTTAAAGACTTAAGCTTTGGTGGATAATCAGAGACACAAAACTCGGGCACCAAGAGTCAGTGTCTCTTTACTAAGTATCCCCACTACGCCATAGCCTATCACATCTACGCCTGCGTAAAAGTCGCTCGGTACGCCTGCGCAGACTCCACAGTCTTGGGTAAGTGTCGTCAAGGAAAATCCCCAGCTCCTCGGTAAACAAGTGGCCGCGTGAGCCGGCCTGCACGTGTTCCCTACATCTCCGAGACCTCAGCCTATGAGAAAGTTTTTAGGGCAGGGCTGGCATCTGCGTCACTGATTTAGGTAGGGCGGGGTTGTTTCCACAACCAATAAAAGTCTTAGAAGTGGGTGAGGGGTGTTGCTTCCGGTCAGATGTCCAATCAACGCGCTGGGTCGCCCCCTCCCTCACGTGGCCTTGTCACTACCGGTTGTCAAGTTATCCAATGGCAAGGTGACTGCGCCCTGAAGTGCCAATGGTGGCTTTGCAAGGGCTTGTCGGCTGCACGCGGAGCGGGGCATGGGTTGGTGTCTCTAAGCCAATAAGCTTGGGAGGCGTGACAGAATGGGCAGAGGGAGGGCCTGGAGGAGCCTGTGGAGTAGCTACCCAACGTCCCCAGTAGTGAAGAAATTTGGATTATGTATGTGTGCTGTCGAAACTGTAAGTAGCCCCCTACTCCGGGGCGGTCGAAGTGGGTTTTTTTGGTTTGTTTTTGTTCTTCCTGTGGAGATGTGCTCGGCCAAAAGGGGTGTCGATGGCGTGGTGTGTGTGTGGGATAGTGCAAAGGCGTGTTCGCTGCAGTAGGCGTGTTTGATGATGGTTGTGGGCTGCAAACTCAGCTCCAGGGGACCGTCAGTGGGCGGTACCAGTGTCTCACCTCTCCAGGGTCCCCGGACCCCACTGCCTAGCATGGAAAGCTCAGAAACCCTCAACCTCCCGAGGGAGCTGAGGCGCCTGCCATAGGAAGCCTGAGAGCTGTTTAAGGTTGGGTAGGCTCCGCTTGGAAGAGTAGGGAGTCGGAGCCTGGAGAAAGGCCCTGGCAGGGCAAGTGGGAACGTGGGGTGGTGACCCGAGAAAGGTTGCTGTGCCGATTTGTGTGACTCGGAGACTGTCGCATCACGACTCCGGGTTACTGTTTCATGCGGAAAGGACAGCGTCGGGGTCTCAGAGACCTGCTTGCAAACAGAAATGGGCTAGCAGTTTGTTGGGTTTTGAAAGAAGATAGGGTACAGAGTTTCTGTATCACCGGCTTGCCCACTCCTCTCGAACTGTTAGAGGTGAGGAGGCAACAAAAAAGCTACTCTGGTGTCTAGGCAGTCAGGCCTGGGGGAGGTGGGAGAGGAAGGAAGTGAGGTTCCTAGGAAAGCTCTGTAGCTGGAGACTTCTCGAATGATCTCTGCTTTTGAGCATTGAAAAAAATGAACCGCGGTGGTGTGTGTGGAGTACAAACAATGCCGTGAGATCAGGCTGAGAGGGAAGAGGGAACTGGATGCAGCTTGTGTTCTAGGCACCAAACTTAGAAGTAGGGGACTATTTGAGAGGTCCTGGCTTGACAGTGCTGGAATGCAGAGTAGAGGCTCGCTAACTTCACAGGGGCCCTGAGGGTGGGAAGTCAGAAGGCCAAGCCATCATCAGAGCCTGAACCTCAGGCTCCATTATTAGGAAACTGAGAACATTTTATGAAGCAGAAAATTAGGCAAGTGTAGTACCTCCTAAGTCTGAGCTGTCCCTCTGAAATGAGGGTGATATCTACGGACAGTTGTTCTGGGGCTTAAAAAAGAACAGTATATGTACTTAGTCTAACGTTTGGGTCATTTAAAACAAAAGTATAAGATAACAAAACGATAGTAATAGGGATTTATGTGAATGTTGTGGCTCGGAATAACTCATCTTCTGTTTTTCTGCAAGTTTTGATGACTCCTCTTTTCCCTCTTCCTGACTTTTCTGGGCTGCAGGCAGCAGCCCAAATTCCATCATTCCTCCCCTGTATTCCTCTCCCAAGATCTGGGCTCCAGACAGAGGCTACTCGCTCTGTCCCAGTTTGACTTCCTCATCCTAAATCCAGCTCTCCCGACCCCCTCCCACCTATGCTGTGTTGTAATAGTAGCTAGAAATTCCGCCTCTGAAAGGGGCCCCTCTGGAAAGGAGCAAAGGTGCGTGTTCCCTCGCTGAACCTGGGCCTCCGATTTACCCGCGGTGACTGTTTGGTACCTGGCCAGCAGCTGTGTACAGTTTGGTGACAGGGAAAAGCCAAGGCCAGGAACTGTAAGAGCCAGCTGGGAGCCCACCAACACAAGTCTCGACTAGAGAGTCAGGCATGTGGTCAGGGAAGGGGGACCCCTTCCTTCTTCCTAACCGTCTCTCCAGGAATCCCTGGCTTTTGTATGGGACGGCTGTCGTTGGGTTGGGGGAGGCGCCAAGTCTGAGTGCATGTCCTGGGCCACCAGCCAAGAGAACACGATGTTCCCTAGTGCGCTGGCCGCCGCCCTCTGGGGCTGGCTCCCTCCCAAACCGCTGCCTCTCCAGTCTCCCTGGCCCACATTCCCCCGGTTGCCTTGCCCCGCCTCCTTCCTCCGCTTTGACGTCAGCACTGTCTCCCGCCCCCTCTTCTCCATTGACGGCAGCAGAGCCTGGTTACTGTGGGGACGGTGAGACCTGACAACCTAGGCCTTGGAATCAGGTGGGGGCTGTTGGAGTGCTGAACCCTTTTGTCTGTGTAAATGGCAGATACGGAGGTGGGCGAGCAGTGGCTGTTTGGGTCCGAGGAGTCACACCTGAATCCTTGAGAGCTGTAGAGGGAGGCAGAGTCTGAAAACAAAAAAAGAGAGAACAGGGTTACACACAGTACCTCGAGGGGGCAGGAAAGCAGGATCATTTTCAGGAAGAGGAAGCTGAGGAGTCAGGCACACTTGTCTTTTGTTTTCCGTTTTCCTGCGTCTGTCTTTCTGGGTTGTTTTATAACACTTCTGTGTCCCAGCTTTTCTACAGATCCCTGCCCCTCCGCCTCCTCTAAGGGAAACACTATTGTTAAGGAAAGCTTTAGCCACGTGACAGCGAGGGGCGTGCACTTACAGCTGATTATGTCAGAAGACTGCTTGGAGGCCTCTTCACCTGCCACCTACGTTTCCAGGGAACCCTGAGAGGAACTACTCAGCCCAGGTCTGGGTAGAGGGGACGTGTCACTGCTGCTGGCCGGGACCCAGGCTGGCTCGTTACTCCTCTTCCAGCCAAGCCCCTGCTCTCTTTAGGAGTCAGCGCACCGCTTTTCTTTTTTAAATTGTATTTTGCTGCCTCCTCTCCTCGCGAGGCTCCCTCTCTCTTACCTATCCTTGATGGAAAGAAAGTCGTCATGTTTACCGACAGTCTCCTGGGTGTCGAGTCCTGACACTAGACTGACTTCCGTTACTGCTGAGCGTACAGTAAGTGACATGGATGGGCTTGCTGCTCGAACCTTAGCTTGCTTTTTCTAAACAGCAGGGATATAAAGTCCTTGCCACCCCACCTTTTTCTGTTTAGGGCCTCAGCTGCCTTCTCTGCTGCCCCCTTTGCAGTTCTGGTTTCCTGGCCCCCACTTTTGGGGCAGCCCTGAATGTGGGTGGCTGCATCCTCTGCAGAGAGGCAGTGCTAGTCACCAAGTAGGCTGCCTGGAGACCTTTTCTCTGATTGGCCATCGAGGCACCTGCTTTTGTTTCCTTTCACAGTAGCCATTGGCTCTCGCTGCCCTCTCTATTATCTGTATCCTCCCATCACCCACTCACCCCTTAATGACACGTGGACCCACAATTGCCCTTCTCCCAGGATCTGAAGTGTCAGATCAAGGGATTAGATTCTTTGAGACAAGGTTGGGGAGAAGCCAGGAAATACCAGTCTATGTTTTTCTCTCTCCCACTCCCCATGGGTAGCGGATATTTTATTCAACTGGCTCCAGGACAGGTGTCTTGTTCTGCAAGGCTGGTCTGTTCCAGAAGTAGGTTTCTCTTGAACACCCACTGGGACCCAGACATTTTCCCTGAAAAGGAGTAGCTTCCCTCCCTTCACTTCCCCTTCGTTATTTACTGTGCGAGGCATCCTGAGCCCATTGGCTGACTGAGCGCTGTCTGAGGCCCTTCAGCCCAGCACCAGCACCCAAGTCCACGTGCAAGGATGTGTGTGACACAGCCCTGACCTCAGTGGGAGCCAGTAGCCAATCAAGTGCCAGGGAGAGATCCTTAGCCAACTGGGGGCGGGGCCTGCGGCTCTTCGGGCAGAAGGCCAATGAGGGGCAGGGCCTGGCATTATGCAACCCGCCTCCCAGCCTCTCGGAGCTTCTCGCTTGCAAGCTGAAACCGCAGGCGGCTGGAGGGCGCTCGAACGGCCAGGTAGGGATCTCTGCTGCAGTCCTAGGGCTAGTCTTTGTCCCGGAGCTTCGTTAGCTACCCCTTCTTCCAATGTGATGGGTCATTTTCAGCTCTGACGCTTGGACAACAAATCAGTAATCCGCCTTTCTTGTCCCTATCCACCCCTTCCCCGCCCCTGGGGCCCTAGGTGTTCAACCCTTCCCGGGTTGCCTGCGTTTCTTTCTCGCTCACCTTAGCCTCCTGCTCTGCGTCTCTATCGCAGTCATCCTAAGCCCAACAACAAACCTTTAACGAACGTGGCCCCTTACCCTTTCTTGTCACTCGGGGGGGGGGGGGAGTCCTCGGATTTACTCTGGCACAAAGACCCCTTTAGGTTTTTGCTCTCTGCCTTCCTCCCTCCAATTCCTGGCCCCATGCCGGTCGTGATGTCAGCCGCTTCATGCTGGAACATCCTGTTCCCAGTGCTATTGCTAGTTCTTGCTGTTGGCCACAGCCTCCCCTTTTCTCCTGGTGCCTGGAAAATACTTGGGATGGGGGTGTGGTTAGGGAGTAGAGGAAAGAGCTATATGTTGGTTGTTATGTGTCCCCTACCTAAGACGGCGGTAGCATTAACTAGAAAAGTAGGGAACTGGAGAAGATGCCTGGGTTCTTGCCTATGCCAAGTGGTAACTCCAGTCCTCATGTTCGGAAGTGGGCAGGGGCCCAAGAAAGAAAAGCAGTGTCTTGATCAGAGTGATGGATCAAGGCAAGAGCTAGAATGGGGGCGTTTCCACAGAGTAGAGGCCGTGTATTTCTCCCTGGGGAGGCTAGGACCTGCTCCTGGAGTCCCTATAGCTCATCTTTTCACAGGGCTCCTGGGGTCCTTGGGCCCTGGAAATTTGTTAAGATGGGTGACCCCGGGTCTTTGCAAGCCAGTATGAGGGTGGTTTGGCCAGTGTGGGAGTGGGTCAGTTTTCCACTTCCACAGCAAAAGGGGGTGGGGGAAGGGGCGCTCCTGCCCTCCTGTGGTCCCTCCAGCAACCGCTGAGCTCAGCGGCTGACGTCGGTTTCCCAGGCGACCGTGGCTGTGGCGGAAGCGCGTGGTGGGGCCAGGCACATCGACGCGCATGTGCAGCGGGGGTGGCACCGCCCCCGGATAAAATTAGCCCGGAAGCCTAAATATAGGAGGCCATCAGCTCACCCCCTGCTCTGAGAGGCCTCAGAGTCCCAGACCAAGTGGGGACCTGATGAGAATTTGGGGATAGGAAACCTGCAAGCTTTGCCCCACAGTCATCGTTCTAGTTAATTGTTCAGGTTCTACCCACTCTACACTGGCAGAGGGCGGAAGAGAAGGCCTAAGAGAGCTACCTTCCTACCTGTGGTATCCTAAGGGGAACGGGAAACAGAATTTAGCTTTCTTTCTAGTGCAAGCTCCAGGCCTGAGTCCCATCAGTGAGGGGCAGAGGAAGGACTGCCTGTAGCCAGCTGGTGCTCAGCTTTGCTAAACCTTCCTTTTTGGTTTCTTTTTCTAGGTGCTGTGATTAAATTAGTAAGCCCTCAGAGACAAGCTTCCTACCTCCCTTATCCAGGCCTCAAAAGCCTCATTGTGCACCCGTGGTGGCCTCTTCACCTTCCCTGTCTCGTCCTCCGCTGCATGGCCCAGACATGAGTGGTCCCCTAGAAGGGGCTGATGGGGGAGGAGACCCTGGGCCCGGAGAACCTTTTTGTCCTGGAGGAGTTCCATCGCCTGGGGCCTCCCAGCACCGGCCTTGTCCAGGGCCCAGCCTGGCGGATGACACTGATGCAAACAGCAATGGCTCAAGTGGCAATGAATCCAATGGACACGAGTCCAGGGGTGCGTCTCAGCGGAGTTCTCATAGCTCCTCTTCCGGCAATGGCAAGGACTCAGCCCTGCTGGAGACCACTGAGAGCAGCAAGAGGTGTGTGCGTGTGCGTGTGCGCGCGCGCGCGAGTCTAGCAATGCTACTTCAGAGTCTAGCAGTGCTAGCACGGTGCTGTTGATCACATGGCCCTCACCGTGGACTGTTGCTTCTTTTCTAGTACAAACTCCCAGAGCCCATCCCCACCAAGCAGTTCCATTGCCTATAGCCTCCTGAGTGCGAGCTCGGAGCAGGACAACCCGTCTACCAGTGGCTGCAGGTGTGTGGTGTGAGTGCTGTGGGAGATGCCAGGGGATCGGGGCTGGACTCTGGGGCTAATGTCTTTACCCCTTCGTTCCTTGTGGGCCTTGTAGCAGTGAACAGTCAGCTCGGGCCAGGACCCAGAAGGAACTCATGACCGCACTTCGGGAGCTCAAACTTCGACTGCCACCAGAACGTCGGGGCAAGGGCCGCTCTGGGACCCTGGCCACATTGCAGTATGCCTTGGCATGTGTCAAGCAGGTTCAGGGTGAGTGGAGCTTCCTGACAGGGTGTGGCCGGGGCATGGACTATTGTAAGTTCCATTCTCCTTACTGAAGATGGATGAATACCCTTGTCCTACAGCTAACCAGGAGTATTATCAGCAGTGGAGCCTGGAGGAGGGTGAGCCTTGTGCCATGGACATGTCTACTTATACCCTGGAGGAACTGGAGCATATCACATCTGAATACACTCTTCGAAACCAAGTCAGTTGCAGCTTGGGTCCTCTGTTCTCACACACCCTCATCCCCATTCCTACGGCTTCTAAATCTCCTCTTCACCTTGGTCTCCTAGGATACCTTCTCTGTGGCCGTGTCCTTCCTGACAGGCCGGATTGTCTATATTTCGGAGCAGGCAGCTGTCCTGCTGCGTTGCAAGCGGGATGTGTTTCGGGGTGCCCGCTTCTCGGAGCTCCTAGCTCCCCAGGATGTGGGTGTCTTCTATGGCTCTACTACCCCATCTCGACTGCCCACTTGGGGCACCGGGACCTCTACAGGTAAAGTGCCCTTATGCTGTTCAGAGGACGGAACAGCTCCTGAAGCTGTTGCTAGGAGCAGCCTGAACCTAGGCTTTCATTTCCTGGGCTCTCCTCAGCCCAGGAAAGGGATGGCACTGTGCTTAGGTCATTCTCATCTGCTCTAGGTTCAGGCCTCAAAGACTTCACCCAGGAAAAGTCTGTCTTCTGCCGAATCAGGTAGGTAGGGGGATTAGGAGCAGGCCTTCTCTGCTATTCATCTCTGTTAACTCTGTGATGAACAAGGGAGTGGGTGCCTTTCCACCGAAAACCTCTAACCTTCATCTTTCCCTCGCCAGAGGCGGTCCTGACCGGGATCCAGGACCTCGGTACCAGCCGTTCCGCCTCACCCCATATGTGACCAAGATTCGGGTCTCAGATGGAGCCCCTGCACAGCCATGCTGCCTACTCATTGCGGAGCGCATCCACTCTGGCTATGAAGGTGGTTAGGCTAGGACCCTGGCCCCGGGAAGATGGGAGGATGGTTTTCCCTCCAGGATGGGGTGAAGTTAAGATGAGAGTCTGGGAGGTACGAGTGGGGTCCTTAGGCTTTAGGAAGTGTTGTCAGGAAGAGAGGTCAGGCCGTGCTGAGGTAGGGTAGGATGAAATCACTGAGCTGTGACAGGTGAACAACGTCAGTGATTCTCAGTGTCATCTCTGGTGTGAATCACCAGATGACTCAGGCTCTCTGTGGGCCATCGAGCCAGGTCTGAGCTGAGAGGAGGAATGCCGGGCAGCCAGACCCTCGGCAGAGAGGAGGGCTGAGCAGCTAGCCCTCTGTGAATGAAACCTCCATGTTTTATGCTGCAGCTCCCCGGATTCCTCCCGACAAGAGAGTTTTCACCACACGACACACACCCAGCTGCCTCTTCCAGGATGTAGATGAAAGGTAAGGTAAAGACATGGAGGAAGGTGGGTAACCAGGGCCAACCCACGGTCTGACAGCTCCTCTCATTGCAGAGCTGCACCGCTGCTGGGCTACCTGCCCCAGGATCTCCTGGGGGCTCCAGTGCTCCTCTTTCTGCATCCTGAGGACCGACCCCTCATGCTGGCCATTCATAAGAAGAGTGAGTTCTTCTCGTCTTGCTCTCCTGCCCTGCTTGTCCCCAGGGTTTCTTAACTGCCCTTGCAGTGGTGTAACTCAGTGCGTTGGTCTCTGGCGTGTCTACATGTGCCTCTCTCTCCACCTTACTTTATTCCCTCTCCCACCCACTAACACCACTTTTTTTTTCCCGCTCCCACAGTTCTACAGCTGGCAGGCCAGCCCTTTGACCACTCTCCTATTCGCTTCTGTGCTCGGAATGGGGAATATGTCACCATGGACACCAGCTGGGCCGGCTTTGTACACCCCTGGAGTCGCAAGGTGGCTTTCGTGTTGGGCCGCCATAAAGTACGCACGTAAGTGTGCTATATCTCTGAGCTAGCACTGGGGATGGGACAGGATCAAGGAAAGGACTGTATTCACCCTTACCATCCTGCAGGGCACCCCTGAATGAGGACGTCTTCACTCCCCCAGCCCCCACCCCGGCTCTGTCCCTGGACTCTGATATACAGGAGCTCTCGGAGCAGATCCATCGACTGCTGTTGCAGGTGAGAGTTGAGGAAGGCCTCAAGAGTGAAGTGGTCAGGGGGCAGGATGTAGACATCTAACCAACTATCTTTCTCCTTGCTGCAGCCTGTGCACAGCTCCAGCCCCACAGGACTCTGTGGAGTTGGCCCTCTGATGTCCCCCGGTCCTCTCCATAGCCCTGGCTCCTCCAGTGATAGCAATGGGGGTGATGCTGAGGGGCCTGGGCCTCCTGCTCCAGTGAGTAGCCTTCTCCCATGTCACCTTTCTCATGGTCCGCTCTCTTGGGACGTTGCCTGTTCCTCATGCTACCATTGCCTAGGCTCCCGGGTGGTCTTACTGATACTTAGGCCCCTGGCACTGTCACCCCAATGCTGCCCAGTGCTCTGCTGTCCCATAGGTGACGTTCCAGCAGATCTGTAAGGATGTGCATCTGGTGAAGCACCAGGGACAACAGCTCTTCATTGAGTCCCGGGCCAAGCCTCCTCCTCGGCCCCGCCTCCTTGGTAAGTTGGTAACATCGTAGAGCAGCAGGGATGAGGATTAAAGCCTCAGGTTCCCCTTACCTTCATTCCTAACCCATTTGCCTTTTCTTCTCCTTGTCCCTGCTACAGGTACACTGAAGGCCAAAGTCCTTCCCTGCCAGTCCCCAAACCCTGAACTGGAGGTGGCCCCTGTTCCCGACCAAGCCCCACTAGCCTTGGCCCCTGAGGAGCCGGAGAGGAAGGAAGCCTCCAGCTGTTCCTACCAGCAGATCAATTGCCTGGACAGCATCCTCAGGTAAGACTGCCAATCACCTTCTCTCTCAGGCTTTCTTTCCTGCCCTAGGCCCTGCTCTTAGACTCTTTGCTTTGTCCACCCCAGGTATTTGGAGAGCTGCAACATTCCCAGCACAACAAAGCGTAAATGTGCCTCCTCCTCTTCCTGCACTGCCTCCTCTGCCTCTGATGACGACAAGCAGAGGGCCGGTCCAGTTCCTGTGGGGGCCAAGAAAGGTAAAGACACAGTGCATGCCTGGCTCCCATTGCCCTTGCAGTCCTGGTAATCCTGGGCCTTTACACCTCTGCCTTGGAGGCTCCTACCTGCTCTTCCCAGCCCTATCCTGCCTCCTGATCTCTAGGTTCCTCCCTCTAGCCAATCCTTCCCTACTCTTCCCTGGGATTCCCTCTCCGGACCTTCCAAGGGATAGGGTGGGTAACCAGTGCCATCTCTCCGCACAGATCCGACGTCAGCAGTGCTGTCTGGGGAGGGGGCCACTCCTCGAAAGGAGCCAGTGGTGGGAGGCACCCTGAGCCCGCTCGCCCTGGCCAATAAGGCAGAGAGCGTGGTGTCTGTCACCAGTCAGTGTAGCTTCAGCTCCACCATCGTCCATGTGGGAGACAAGAAGCCCCCGGAGTCGGGTATGGGCATGGAGTGAGAGGTAGTGACTGGGCCCCACTTGATCCCTCTCTTTCCTCCCTGCCTTTCTCTCCCTTCCCCCAGTGGAGAGAAGGAGGCCACTTTAGCTCCTCCTTAACCTCTGATGCTTGCTCCCCACCCCCACCCCATTCTTCTTCCTGTGTTCTTACTGTCAGTTGAACCATAAAAGCAGGATATAAGGGGAGGGGGACCAACACTGAGATGCTGACCATAGAGGATCTAAAGCAAGGAATATGAAGACTCTTTGGGATCTTTGAGTAGACCTTTAACGTGTGAAAAGCAAGATATGGGCTTCCCTAGGCAGAGGTGTCACCCCAGGGGTTCCTGCAGGGTCTTGGCCCTGGCTGGGGACTGAGCATCCTCTTTTCTCCTGGGATAGTTTTGCTCTTGGCAGGGAGGTTGTAGTGTGGACGTGCTGACCTCTGAGATGTTTCTCACCACTTTTTTCCCATCTCTCCTTCCTTAGACATCACTGTGATGGAGGACCTGCCTGGCCTAGCCCCTGGCCCAACCCCTAGCCCAGCCCCCAGCCCCACAGTAGCTCCTGACCCAGCCCCAGATGCTTATCGCCCAGTGGGTCTGACCAAGGCCGTGCTGTCCCTGCACACACAAAAGGAAGAGCAAGCCTTCCTCAGCCGCTTCAGAGACCTTGGCAGGCTTCGTGGACTTGACAACTCTTCTGTGGCGCCCTCCACCCCTGGCGAGCGAGGTAGCCACCTTGGCCTTCCTTGAGATGCTTTTTACACAGCCCGCCTAGGGCCAGGTGCTTAGGGTGGTCATGTGGTGGTGAGAGAGATGTTTCTGCCCTGGGACCCAGGCTGATGGAGTCTGCACCCTCAGGACACTGTTTAGATGCCTAGAATAGCTTCTTCCTGCTAGGCTAGGCTTCCTAAGGAGGGAAGCTTGGGGGGCTGGCATTGAGATGAGCAGGTGAAAGTGCTCAGTTCCAGGTAAGCTCCTCGAGTCCTAGCCTGGGAACGGGCAGAGACTGGGCCACTCTCTGATGGAGTTGGACTTCCAGATGGAAAGTAGCCCGTCTAGGTACCTGCAGGAGACCTTTGCAGGCAGCTGCAGGACATAGAACTGAGGCCCGGCCTATTCTGCCCACCACATCGCGCCATTGTGAGTTAGGCAGAGCACAGCTTCAGCTGGCAGGACAAGTGTCCAGGCTGTCCCAGCCTGAGGGGTTTTGGCAGAAGTGCTGAAGTCACCTGCCTATTCATCCATGGACCCCACTCTGCTTTCTCTTACCCGCCAGTGTGCCTCTGTTTTGCACACCCCCAGCTTGACCCTCATGTAACCTTGTCCTTCCCTGGCTGCTTTCACAGTAAACCCCCGTCCCCTGGCTCCTGTTCCTCATCCCTGAAACTTCCCTACTTCCTAGCTTCTGGTTTGTTTTTTTGCGTGCAAGCTGAGCAGCTCTTTCGGCCCTTTGCCTGTCTTCTTCTCAGTGTGTTAGGGCAGTGGAGGGGCAGGCTCCTTGCTAACCCTGGTCTTTCCCCACAGGCTGCCACCATGGCCCCATGCCCCCTGGTCGCCGACACCACTGCAGATCTAAAGCAAAACGTTCTCGTCACCACCAGACACCCCAGCCTGAAACTCCTTGCTATGTCTCCCATCCTTCCCCTGTGCCCTCTTCTGGACCCTGGCCACCTCCACCAACCACTACCCCCTTCCCAGCAGTGGTCCAGCCCTACCCACTCCCAATGTTCTCCCCTCGAGGGGGTCCCCAACCTCTTCCCCCTGCCCCCACATCTGTGCCCCCTGCTACTTTCCCTTCTCCCTTGGTGACTCCAATGGTGGCCTTGGTGCTCCCTAACTATCTATTCCCTGCCCCACCTAGCTATCCATATGGGATATCCCAGGTCCCTGCTGAGGGGCCACCTACTCCTTCCCACTCGCCTTCTCCATCCCTGCCCCCACTGGCCCCTAGCCCCCCACACCGTCCAGACTCCCCACTGTTCAACTCAAGATGCAGTTCCCCACTTCAGCTCAATCTGCTGCAGCTTGAGGAGTCCCCCCGCACTGAGGGGGGTGCTGCTGCAGGGGGCCCTGGAAGCAGTGCTGGGCCCCTCCCTCCCAGTGAGGAGGCTGCTGAGCCAGAGGCCAGACTGGTGAGCAACAAGTCCCTCTTCCCCCTCTTCCAGTGCCCTCAGCCCTTGGCCCTCTTCTGCCTGGGTCAGTTCTCAGCTTCCTGGAATTGCTGTGGGTGGGAGGTCCAAGCGGAGTTTGTGAGTGGAGCAGAAATCAGCTGCCTCCTCTGGGAAGGGACGGTTCTGTCCATCAGTGCACATTCTGAGAGTGTATCTGCCTCTTGGAAAGGGTCTGCATTATGCTCCCTGCGAGTCCTCAGCTCTCTCCTCTCAGCTTGGCCCTGTGTCATGGAGCAAGGAGCAAAGATCTGTTGGGTTGGGTGTGTCTCCTCTGGTTCCCCTCAGCAGTAAAAGCAGTTGAGAAGCCACAGCGTTGACTCCTTGCTGCCTTCCTGTCCTCCACTCCCCTCTGTCTCTAGGTAACTGAGTCCTCCAATCAGGATGCACTTTCGGGCTCCAGCGACCTGCTGGAGCTACTACTACAAGAAGATTCCCGCTCTGGCACAGGCTCTGCAGCCTCGGGCTCCCTGGGCTCTGGCTTAGGCTCTGGGTCTGGTTCAGGATCCCACGAAGGGGGGAGCACCTCAGCCAGCATTACTCGTGAGTGCTCATCCTCCAGGACTTCCCAGAGTAGGACAGAGATGGGGAGGTGGGAAGCTAAGCCCCAGTTTGACCTTATTTGTTAAAACCAGTGGGCTGGGCACAATGGGCCTTAGAGGGTGGCCCGGTGAAGCCTCTCAGGGTGGTTGTGTTAGCCAGACCGGCTCCATTGACCTTCCCCACCCCTCCACAGGCAGCAGTCAGAGCAGCCACACAAGCAAGTACTTCGGCAGTATTGACTCTTCAGAGGCTGAGGCCGGTGCTGCTCAGGTCAGGACTGAGCCTGGGGACCAGGTCATCAAGTATGTGCTCCAGGATCCCATCTGGCTGCTCATGGCCAATGCTGACCAGCACGTCATGATGACTTACCAGGTGCCCTCCAGGTGAGCTTTAGTGGCCTCATCATCGTCTTCCCTTTCAGAGCAGCGGAGAGACTAGCCTCCCTGCACAACCCAGATATCTGAGGTTCTTTCTGGGGCGGGTCTGACCTGGAGGTGCCCGTCGTGGCATAAGCCCTTGTCCTTTGGGGCCCATCAGTAGTTGAGAGTAGCTTTCCTGGTATTGAAATCTTACTTGCCTTCAGGGAAGGCACAGAAGACAGTGGGTTAAGGAATTGTGGTTGAAAATGACTGGCAATGTCGTGGGTCTTGACTTTGGATCCTAGCCTCTACCATCCTCACACAGGGACACGGCCTCTGTGCTGAAGCAAGACCGGGAGAGGCTCCGGGCCATGCAGAAGCAACAGCCACGGTTCTCAGAGGATCAGCGGCGGGAACTGGGTGCTGTGCACTCCTGGGTCCGGAAGGGCCAGCTGCCTCGAGCCCTTGATGTCATGGTGAGAGAAGTCTGGGAAGCCAGGAAGAGACTAGGGTGGAAGAAACTGAGCTCAGGTTCAAGGGATAGAGGAATAAAGTCTGATCCCAGTGTCTTTGGATCATTAATTCTGAAGGATGCTAATCCCCTAAATCTATTGTTGGATTATGTAATGTTAAACCACATTACCTCATGAGTTTTTCCAGAACTTCTCTGGCCTCTAGTATACCATCCCATAGTAGTGGGGAGCACTTTTTTAAAAAATTTCAGATTTCTGTATATGAATGTTTTTGTCTGCATATATGTGTGCCTGGTCCTGTGTCCATGGAGGTCAGAAGAGGGAGCTCTGGAACTGGAGTTAAGGATGGTTTGGTCACCATGTGGGTACTGATACCTGAAGCTGGGCTCTCCAGCCCCTTCACTGGAGGATTTTCCAACCTTGTTAGCCTTTAGCTACACGTGTGGACTGGTTTCTTGGGAGATTATTTTGGGACTCAGGGTTAGGTTAAGGTTGGGATGCTGGGCTTGCCAACTCCCACTGAGGAGCCTGCTTAACTCATGTCCTGCTTTCCCTCTAAGGCTTGTGTGGACTGCGGTAGCAGCGTTCAGGATCCTGGCCATTCTGATGACCCACTCTTCTCAGAACTGGATGGATTGGGGCTGGAGCCCATGGAGGAGGGTGGAGGCGAGGGTGGGGGTGGTGGTGGTGATGGTGGTGGTGGTGGTGGTGAGGAGGAGGCCCAGACCCAAACTGGGGCTAAGGGCTCAAGCTCTCAGGACTCTGCCATGGAGGAAGAAGAACAAGGTGGGAACTCATCCAGTCCAGCTTTACCTGCAGAAGAAAACGGCACCAGCTAGACTCATTTTGGGGGTCACAGCAGTCTATGAGAGGCTTCCTTTTCAACCATGTTGGGGTTCTTAGAACTCAAGATATGGCTGGACCAACCAATAGGAAACTGCCCCAGCTTCTCCCCACACAGGGGGCAGGACCCCCACTACCAGTCCAGGACCCAGGGGCTGCCTCTGGCCTCTTAGCAGAGAGCGGAAGTTTTCAGCCCAGTTTGGAGGATCGTCCGTCCCCACCCTGCTGAAGAGACCTTCCCTCATCCAGTTCAGGTGGCTGACAAGCTGCTGAATGGGCCTCTTCAAATCTCAGCTGAGCCTGAGTCCCAGTCAGAGGGTCGGGGCCGCACTTATTTATTGGGGGAGACAGCTCACTCTCCTACCTCATCTCAAGATGGGAGGAGGGGAGCCTGGGGTCCGTGTAGGACCCAGGGGTTTTGAACCCCTAGCTGCTCCAGGGTAGGGGAGGTTGGTGGACCATGGAGTCCCTGGTGCTGCCCCTCAGGTGGGACCCAGGTGTTCTCAGCTCTACCCTCTACCAATGGCATTTGTGTTTTTGATATTGTGTCTGTTTTTTTTTTTTAAATACAAAATGAAAAACCAAAAACCCAAGACTTTGTGGAATGAAGTCGGGAGTTTGGGTGAGGGGAGGATTGTCCCTACCACCAGCAAGGTTGCAATAGGTGGGTTAATGAACCCTATTCCTTTTCCTCCACATTCCTGGCAGCAAAAGGCTTTGCTCACATAATAGAACTACACTCTACCATTACCTTAGTTAGCATGGTTATCCTGAGATGCAGAGAAACAAGAAGAATGTGGTTAAGGTCTCAGGCAAGCTCCAGTCATAGGTACTGTGGCAGAAGCACGTGGAAGCGCTGGGAAACCCGTGGTAGTTTAGCTGACTTCTTTAGCCTCACGTCAACACACCAGCGAAAATAGTTCTTGCAGCTGGTCAGTTTGGTTCGCTAAGACACCAGAGCTTTCACTCCAGCAAGGAAGGAGCCTGAGTGGGTTGAAACAACAGAGGTCCAGTTCAGATATTTGGACTTCACGTTTCCCTGCCCACCTCGCGTCAGTAACAGCTGATCCTAGAAGCGCCAAACATACCCGTTGGCGCCGTGGCTTAGCTGGTTAAAGCGCCTGTCTAGTAAACAGGAGATCCTGGGTTCGAATCCCAGCGGTGCCTGACTTGCATGGGACATGGTATATTATTGCCGAATTATTGACATCTGCCGCGAAGGAGTTTTCTTCTCCACCTAGACCCTTCTTAGGGCCAGCTTTCTGAGATTCCGTAGCCGCCAACCTCGCGGGAACTGGTTTTACCGGGTTTCACTGCGGCTCCAAGCGGACTGCGTCTGCCATTCAAGCCAGGGCGCACGCGCACAGCTGCTTTTACAAAACTGCCCAGCCCGCCGTGGGTGGGATGGGGTGGAGTCTAAGCCTTGATAGGCAGCTATAGCTCCTGCCAGGCCGTGGCCGCACGCGGCTGTGATGGCCGAGTGGTTAAGGCGTTGGACTCGAAATCCAATGGGGTTTCCCCGCGCAGGTTCGAATCCTGCTCACAGCGTTGTCAGTTTTGGTATTAGGTGTTGCTGCTTTGGTTAGCGGAAAACAGTTCGTTTTCTAGTTCTTACTTTGTAGACGCACTCACTGGGATTCGGCCACCTGGGATCAGCTCGCTAGCGCCCCCGTGCGAAGTTGAAACTACCGTGGACTCAATTCCAAACCACAAAGAATAACAGCTCCACTCAAAATCTACTCAACCTTTTCCTCTACTTTTCGGCTGTGCCACCCGAAACCACGAATCTCCCATTCGCCTCGCCTTCAAATCTGTTTTTCATTTTTGAGATTGTAATTTAATTTCATTTCTCGTTTCCCTTTCCTTCCCTCCCTTCAAAACCTCCTGTATACTCTTCCCTGCTCTCCTTCAGATTCATGACCTTATTTTTCTAATTGTTATTGCATGCATATAGATATATGTATATACACATATATTCCCAAATATAGCCTGTTCGGTTCGTCTAATGCTATCTGTATATGTTTTCAGGGCTGTCGGCTTTGCATTGGACAACCAGTTCGTACACACTTTCCTGGGGTGGGGCCTCCTTTCCTCTCCCAACTTTTCTCGGTTGTCTACAGCTTTGTGTAGAGCCGAGGCTCTGTTTTCTGACTCACTGGGAAGACAATTTCCCATGGGCAGCTGCAGCTGCATGCCCTTACCGCCACCCCGCCTCCTCTCCCTGACGACTACAGAAGAACGCTTCCACTGAACTATGGCCAACCTCCACTGCTAGATTTTCCATCCCTCTGACCCTCGTTGCTCTGTTTTCCATGCCATCAAAATTTCCCTTTCGAATGTATTGCTCTCATCAGCTTCCAGCGTGGTGATTCTGTCCCGAAGAACAAAAATATCTGCTGTGTGTCCTTGAAAAGTTCTTGTATTGGCAACTTAATCCCTAGATATCTAATTTGATGGAAGGTAGGGTCTTCAGGACATTATTCACACTAGAGGATGTCATATGAGCTGAGCCCCCGCGACGACTACAGCTTTCTAAGACGCAACTCCAATAAGTTTCCTTGTTCTGTCACATCGTATGATTCCCTCCGTCAACAAGCAAGCCCTCACTAGACATGCTGGCTCCTTGTTCTTGGGCTTCCCAGCTTCCAGACTACTGAGCTAGACAGACCTCTATCCTTTCCTGACTGCCTAGACTACAGTGGTCTAAGTCAACTGGGGAAAAGGCCAAAAACCAGTAAGACACTGTCTGGACCCTATGCTGTTCTCCAGTTACCATTTCCTTCCTTGTTCCTCTGTGTAACAATAAGTGATCTCACCGTTTCTACCTTCCAGTGCTCCTTTGAACCCCCTCCGACCATGTATATACCCTTCTCACCATCATAGCCGCCCTGTGTTAAGGTTACAGATAGCCATTACATTGCTAAATGGACAGGAGCAGGCCCTTAGAGCCTCTTCACTACCTTCCAGCTTCCGACACCCTTCTGATGTCCCTTCTGTTCCATTAGCAGCTCGTTCACAGACTCCCTTTCTGGATCTTAAGTGTTAGGGGAGTCACAAGGCTCAGTCTTCCAGCGGCCTCTCGCCTCTGTGCTTTCTGCTGAGCCATCTCTGGTATCTCATCATCATCATCATTATCATCATCATCATCATCAATACCCTGGCAATGCTTCAGCATGCATGGGCTGCCCATTTACGGTAGTTCTCCAGTATTCTGAGCAGTCCTAGATGCTTGTATTGTTGTCATACCCAAGGCTCCACAGCCTTCCTTTATGCTGTCTAACCACTGTCTTTTGGATCCTCCTCTTCACTTTATCCCATGCGCTCCTCCAAGGAGTGCTGTCTTCAGTTCAAAGGAGGGAACTATTTCAGACGTCAAGAGGCAGATAGGGACAGCGAGGGCTGCATTCCAGGCCCTAGGAAAGGTTTGGTCAGCAGGAGACACAACGACAACAAAATTACAAGGACATGAGACACTTGTCTCTAGCTGCCTTCTTTACAGCTCTGAAACCTGGACAATGAAACGCTCCTCAGAACAGCAGCGGAATGTGTTCGAGATGGCGTGTCCCAGGAGGAGTCTAGGCGTCACACAAAGAGACGGGCTGAGCAATGGTGACATTGAGAAGCATCTCCATCTACAGAAGGAAGTAAACTGCAGGGTACAGGATACGGCAAGGGCGCCGGAGACACTTTGGCCATGTTACGAGACTCTCTGGTCTAGTACCTTTAAAAGCCAGATAATACTCCAGGTGGCCTCTTGTTTCCATCTCCAGGGCTGACTGTTCCCCATCTACACTCGACTGTCTAGCAGGGATACACTGTTCCCTAAAGCTGCTTCACCTGTGCTCTTCTCAATTTGGTCGATAAGATTTCTATTTCTCTAGTTGATTACACTTAAGACCCTTGGGATCCCCTTGGGTCTTTTTTTTTTTTCTAACATTCCATATTGATCAATCAGCTGTTTCTTTTTCTAATATGCAAGGCTTAGCTAAGGGTCCCTGAATTCACTATTACATCCTCATCCAGACTTGTCTCTTCCCTGCCATCTATTACCTAAATTACCTCCTAGTGTCCAGTCTCTGGCATTCTGAGGAGGCACTTTCTGAGGCAACTCCCATTACCATTCCACTAACTACCATTCTTGTGACAATGGTTCTCTTCCCGGATACTCTTTTGGTGGAAGGTGGGGGAAGAGAGGGTTGAAACAAAGTAGCTCAGGATGGCCTCAGATTCAATACACTTACTATGTAGCCCAGGTTGGTCTTGAAATTCAGCAATTCTTCTACCTCAGCTTCCAAAGTGTTGGGATTACACGTATGAGCTACTATACCTGCCCTTCCCTTCCCCTCCCCAACAAAGGGGAGGGAGTGGAGGTTGGCACACATCTGTAATTTTCCACTCTCAGAAGGATCTCTCCAGTTTGAGACAGGCTTGGGCTACATAGTGAGAGTCTGTTTCAGAGTGCAGCAAAATACTAAGCAGCTAACCAAATGCATACAGGCTACAGATCAGTAGAGTAGATTTGCCTTGTATGAAAAAGGGCTGGGAAAAAAAGATAAAAAAAATTAAAAAAAAAAAAGAAAAAGGGCTGGGGAACTGGGGGGCTGGAGGGATAGCTCAGTGGTTAAGACCACTGGTTATCCTTTCAGAAGGACCCTGGTTCAATTCCCAGTACCCACATGGCAGCTCACAACTGTCTGTAATTCCATTTCTAGGGGACACAACCCCTATGGTAAAACACCAGTGTGCATAAAATAAAAATAAGTGAATTTAAAAAAATGCATAAACTTTAAAAAAGAAAAAGGGCTGGGGGTCTGATGCTCAAATCCAGAAAAAAAAATAAATCATGACTCCGATTCCACCAATCTTCCAACCTCTCGAGCCTTCCAATGGGCAGTGTCAATATAAACTCATGGTTTCACTGTATGGAGAAACAGAAGCGAATTATCACATAGACAATTTTCTAGCTCTTTCTCTTATGAGGATTTCTCAGCTCTGTTCTTCTTGATGGAAAGAAACAGTCAAGAGGTATAGACATCTTGAGCAAAGTTTATTTAGCAAAGGTAAGCACAGTGAACATTCCAGAGAAAGATGGGAGGGGCTGCTGAGGCAGAGTGCAGCCCCATGGATTCCATGCTGTGGATTTGAAAGAAAACACGAATATTTAGGAGGTGAGTGGCATTTTCATAGAGGAAGGTCATCCTTTCCGCCTTCAAATAATGATGAACCAATTCTTCCATGAGTCTCACTAAAAGGTGTGTGTGTGTGTGTGTGTGTGTGTGTGTGTCAAATCCACAAGGCATGATATTCTAAGAACCTCAGCCCTTTTAGGATGCAGACCCTTCTTAACTGTATCTGTGTGGCAGAAGGCGCTGCTGCCTCCGTTTCAGATGTAGTAGGAACCCTACTGCAGTTTCAGGGATGTCTAACCGCAGAGGGGCCTCTGATTATCAGCAGATGCTGGGGTCAAGAAGCAGCTGCAGTTTCCTGGATGACTTCCTGTCGCGTTTCTTACTTCCCAACTGTCATTTCCCTCCAGTGAGCCTAGAAGCAAAGACACACTAGTAGGCACCAGCAAGAAAACAGACAGAAACCTAGATCTCAGCCTATAGATGCCATTCTCTGCTCACATGAGCCAAGGCTCTTCCTGGGGTATTCACAGTGGGCTTGAGGAGCTGCCAGACACTGTAGAACACTTTGCTACGCCAGACGGGGAGAAAGCATTCAAAGCACCAGCCGAAAGGTAAGAAGACAGCAGGTGAGGCATTGTACTCAACTGAACTACCAATGGCTCAGTCGAGGATACAGGACAGGGGACGGAGCTCACGTGAAAGGGAGCCGATCCCAAGCACCTCGTAAAACTGGGTAAAGGTGCATGTTTTTAAATCCCACTGCTTGGGAGGTGGAGGCAAGAGAATAACAAGTTCAATGTCATTAGAGGCCACGTGAGACTCTGCCTCAAACAAATAAATGAATAAAATTGATTATTGTTAAATTATTATTTTGTTTGTTCTTTTTGAGTCTTGGGTCTTGCTGTCCTGGAATTTACTGTGTAGAACAGGCTGGCCTTGAATTCACAGAAATCTGCCTGCCTCTGCCTCCTGAGTGCTGGGATTAAGTTGTGTGCCACCACAATCAACTCTGAACAAATGATTGTAATGGAGTATATAGTTCAATATTTCAATGGACAAAATAAGAGTCAAAAGTTTCTAACCAACATAAATAGATGGGATTACAGAACAAAACCTTTTTTCTTTCTCTTTCTTTTTCTTCTGAAAGTATGGTCTCCTGTAGCCCAGGCTGGTCTCAGACTCCTCATGTAGTTGGGGAAGACTTTGAATTTCTGATTCTCCTGCCTCAAGCGCTAGGAAAGGAGTACGGGGCCGTCTTGTCCTGGTACTCCATTTTTCCAGGATGAGACTGCAGAATCCCAGTTCTCACCCTCTCCTCCCTTTCTCCGCTTTTCCTCCAGGGTACTTACTGCCTGCCAATAGTAACGCCCACGGACTGTCGTGTCCCTTCTCCCCGCCGCGCCCCCCCCCCCCCCCCCCCCCGCAAGAACAGAAGCGGGTAAGGACAGAGCTGACTATGTTCGGAGCTGTCTGTGAGGGGCCCCGAACAGAGCAGGTAGGATAAACGTGCAGGGCCTGAAGAAATGGCAGGCGGGGTTCACATTTTATAGCTGGGGTCTTTAAAGTTTATGATATTCTTTCCTGTTGAGACCCTTCCTCGAAATAGACAACAAAAAAGAAAAGAAAGGAAGAAAAGGGCTCTTTCCTATTTTATCTGAGTCTGTGATTCCCGTTTGGTTTTGAATCACAGAACAAGACGCCAGGAATCTGGACCACAGGGGTTTGCTTTAGGAGCCTAGAACTCTCTCTCCCCTGTGTTCCTGCTTTGGCTTGGAGGCCGAGTTTTCCTCCTTTCAGCCCTGAAGCCCTAGGGAGACAGCGGTCTAGGAACTCCGCTACTCAGGACCCAGGACATCCTAACAAGCACACTTTCCCTCAGAAGGACGAAAGGGCAAGGACAAGAGTCTGGGAACCCAGGCCTGGGGAGACGTCGCAGTGGGGGAGGGGAAGTTAAGCACAGCACCAGCTGTACCAGTCTTTCTTCGACCTCTGCATCCTTCCAGGCCCATCATGTGGCCCTGCCCTGCCCTCCTCTGAACCTCAGCCTGGTTCACCATACGGAGGGTGCAGTGAGACATAGATACCTGTACATGTGACAGGACACAGCCATGACACGCCTGGACACAGGCTCTTTCTGAAACAGAGGCTTATGATCTTCATAGAGACCCCCCCCCCGCCCCCACACACAACAAAGGTACACTAGGGACGTCTTCACAGGCCACATCACAGGCCTCACCTGCACCAGAGCAGTCAAATTACTCATTCAATTAGTCTCACTGGAAGGTAACCTTAGGTTGTTGTTGTTGTGTGTCATGTGCCCCCCCCTCCCCCCATAGGGTATCTCTGTAGCTTTGGAGCCTGTTCTGGCTCTTGTAGACCAGGCTGGTCTTGAACTCACAGAGAACCGCCTGCCTCTTCCCAAGTGCTGGGATTAAAGGCGTGTATATCCCTAGATTCTATTTTTGGGTTCCTCAATTTCGTTAGCATCATGGTGAAGCAACTTATGCATTTGAAGTTCTCAAACAGGCCTTCAGCAGGCTGAGAAAGCCTATTTTCTTAAACCCATAGGTTTATTTTTCTACTCTTCGAAATGAGCGTTTCACACGCTTCTCATCAAATGGCCTGTAGCACTTCTGATGCCCATGGGAATAACAGGAATTTGGGGTAGGGTCGGAGATGGGTGGGTTGATGCCAGCGTGGGGAGGGGGTGGAGAATGGGCCTCAGTAGCAGGGAAGACCCCTTTCCTATCGAGAGGTGGGAAGATGCAGGGTACGGCTTAGGAAAGTGGGGCTACACTTTCTTAAAAGAACATTTGCTCAAGCTAGGATGTCAGCTCCAAAGTGGTCTTGTTGCCAAAGCTGGTCTTGAATTCTCCATTGCACTTAATCCCCAAGACCCTCCAAGGCTTCCGAAATCCTGTGAAATGGGCTCTGTTATCTTAATCCCACTTTATATCCTCCACTCCCCAGTTCTCTGTTCTAGGTTCTTTCTTTAGATCTCCAACAAATCTCTTTTCAACAGGAGGGCTGGAACTCGTGGGTGACCACACTGAGGTATTATCACCGCCGTGAGGCTGCCTCTGGCCACTTTAACTAAACTAGAATGTCACTGTCACGTCGCTGTACTTTCCCTTACAACCACGGGAAGTTATCCTAGTCTATTTTCTGCCTTCTTGGTTGTTTCCTGTCCCCACACGGCCAATAATGCACGTTTCGGGAAAGCTCAGGGCTAATGTAACCTCAAATCCTTACAATAGTGGGCACACAGCAGGCAGACACAGATCTACGATTGAGCCGGCAAATGTACCTCTTGGGCTCGCAGTGATGACAAGATTGTTTACTTTTCTCCTAGGGCCACGGCCCCAGCTTGGAACTGAGAAGGGAGTGTTGTCACTGACACAATCCAAGATGAGACCCATCAGGCTGAAAGAGACAGGAGAGGAAGGCTTAAACCGGAATTCAGACTGTGAGAACCTGAGAAGGCCGGGAGGAGGGGCGCGGAGGGCGGCGGCGCGCTCGGGAGGGGAGCGGAAAAGGAGTGCGGGGCGTCAGGGCCCCCGGGTTGCTCACAAGTGGCTTTGGCAGGTGGCGGTGCCGGGTCCCGCCCTCCCCGGGCGCGGCGCGTGCGGGATCAAAGCTGCCGGCCAGGGGCGGGCCCGGGAGCTGCGGGGAACCGGGGGTGAGAGCGTGGGAGCGCAGGGTCCCTGCAGGCGACAGGGACCAGGAAAGAGGACTAGACAGCCCAGAGAGGTGCAGAGAGGGAGCAGCAGAGGGACGCGAGACTCAGAAGCCGAAAAGACCACCCTAGACCCGGAGAACCCCAGCAGAAGTCGCCTAGAGATCTAAAAAAAAGAAAAAAAAAATCAGAGCGAGATGGAGTCGCTGAGACCCGAAAGACCAGAAGGCTGACATGCCCAGGTCCTTGGACCTGGGGAAAAGGCGGTTCAGAGCAGAAAATGCGAGGGAGAGAGAGGAGAGGGAAAGAAAGATCAGGAAGACTTGGCCCTCCCCTGCCGAGGGCGGAGAGGACCCCTGGGCAGGGATCCCAGCTGTGTGTCCTTTCTCTGGGTTGCGGATGGTAGGACGTGGGTGTGTGTGTTTCGGGCAGCCTGAACCTCCCTGGCTTGAGGTGGGGGAGGTATGAGGATCTGCGGAGTCAGGGACCAGTTCCGGAGCTTCCAGGGCGGCCGCGGAAACAGTTCACTTTTGGTTGAAATGTTTAAGAAAAAGAGTCGCTTGCTTGAATTGGCGCCTCATCAATTTCATTTTCTCCTGGTTCGAAAGGAAAAAAAAAAAAAAAAAAACTTGCTAATGCATTGGCCGGGAATCGAACCCGGGCCTCCCGCGTGGCAGGCGAGAATTCTACCACTGAACCACCAATGCAGACAGATGAACTGGTCATAATGAATGTATCTGAACTGATCCGAGGCGGAGCTAGCCATGCTCAAACCTCTGCGTGTGGAAAGGGTTTGTAAAGAATAGTTAAGGTGGGTGGAGCGCCGGGCCATTCTTTCTTTCCCTTGGATCCGGCCACCGGGCCATAAAGTCATTCCATATGGCCAGGGGCGGCCCCACACCCGGGTGCAAACTGCCCCGGCCCTCGAGCCTCACGTGCAGGTGAGAAAAACTCAACCCCAATCCTGGTTCCCAAGGAGGGGGGCGGCGGGGCCTGCTGTGGCCACACATCTGTGCTCCCATTTGGCTGAAGTAGGGAAGGTGGGATGTACTGGGGGCCCTAATCCCAAATGGGAGCCCCCTTCTCAAGTCTGGGCCCCTCCCGTTCTGCGTTTGGCAAGGCAGCCTCTGCCAGAAAAATCGCTCAGGTTGGGGAGGGCCTCTGGAAGGAGGCTCCACTTACACTCCACTACTACCTTCTGGCCCGGTTTGTAGCCCCTGTCTTTATGGTGTCCTTTCCCCATGTGTTCTTGTCATGCTAAATTTCGGTTTTACCTCCCCAGGCACTTCGTCCTGGAGTCTCTAAGGGTTGACACATCCTTCCGTCGAGGGCCATGCTATTGGTTTGAGGTGGGTGCGGATCCCTTTTTGTAACCTTTTGCAAATCTCACATTTTCCTGCTCCCCTACAGTCACTAGACGCCTCCAGAGGCAAGTAACTCCGGTGCGCTTGTGGTGAGGTTTTCCCCGTTAGCCATACTCCTAAATTTAGTTTTAAACCAAATACTTGTAAATGGAAAGATTTCTTCACTCCTACTTATACTTTAAAAAGACTTTATACTTGCTTTTTCTAGAAGTTTCCTTTGCCCCCCTCTCCGTCCCCCACCTTAGTCCAGCCATCCTCAAGGAAATCTGTTTTCGGGGCACACGCTTCAGTTATAGCCGCTTGATGGCAGATTCTGCTGTTCACTAGGTCTGCAGGGGTAAGCAGCGGAGTGACTGTGGGAACTGAGCAGAAGAGAGGTACATGGTGAGCGTTCCCACAGCTAGCCAATAGAATCCCGCAGACCTGCTCCTAGCCTCTAGGGGTTGCTCCTTCTGCCCAAAGCTGAAGAGCACTAACATTTATTTCAATGTTGGTGAGGCTATAGTGAACCTCCAAGAAATCTGCTCTTCTAGGAGATCTCCAAATTTCATGTCTAAGCGAGTTGTGTCCCAATTCACTTAAACTCCCCCTAATATTCCCCTCCCTTCAGTTGAGTCCCGCCTTCTTATACAGCCTTAAACCAGCTTGTGGCCCCTTCCTTCCCTTGCTCCCACACTTGGGGCCAGTTCCTCTCCTTCCCCTCCCCCTCTAGTCCCCGCCTTTCCGGGAGCCTCGTGCCGGGGTCTTGGCCCTAGGCATCCAGGAGCAGAAGGGGGCGGGTCTGGGTCCTATCCCTCCTACCCTGCTGAGGCAGGATATAAAGATCTAGGGACCACGCGTTGCGTCCACCGCAGGGTCCGGAGGCGCAATGGTCACTCGGGATCGAGCTGAGAATAGGGACGGCCCCAAGGTGAGAGGTGGGAAGGGAGGGAGCAAGGACCCCCTGTTTTGGCCAGAGGACTTAAAGGTCCTAACACTGTGGGTTAGGGGTGAGGATGGAGACGCAGGACTGGAAGGACAGAGATGCTCGTGAGACCCAAAGAACCTGTATGAAGAGGACAGGGTCAGAGCCGAATTTGCGTGGGTGGCGGAAGTCGAGGTCTAGCGGTTTATGTTATTGTGGGCTGCGGCTTGTGGCCTGGAGAGCTCTGGAGAGTGCCAGAATTTGGGCACCGTGGTCTAGTCTAGCGCTCGGGGCTGGGGGAGGGGGGTGAGTCAGGTGGATTACCGCAAGTTCGAGGCCGTGGAGTGAGCCCTACAAACACATAGCAAGCAAAGGAAACAAAACAACATATAAGTTAGAAGACAGAGCCCGTGGAGCAGGGCGGGGGACAAAAAGAGGAGAGGATGTGGACGCTGTCCGTCAGTAAGCGGCTGTGAACCGCATCTGATTTACAGAGAAGACTTTTGGGTTCCAGAGGTGCGAGGCCGGGTGAGAGATTTTAGGAGAACCAGTGGCGACTTCTAGGCGACTGCCTCGAGGAGGTGTGGTCGTGCTCTATGTCTCCCTTCCACTCTGGGCCACTTACTCTGATTCGTACCGTGAGGGTGGGGCAAAGAACATCCCCAAAGTTCTTCGCTAATACTCTGAGACCACGCAAGATAGAGATGTAGAGAGAAGAGAGAGTCACAGACGGAGACAAGAGGAGGAAGCAGAACTTAGAAGGAGCAGGGAGCGGGGAGAAGAGGGGGCGAGCCACTGAAATTCACCAACCCTGGGTCGCTGGGAAAGAGGCAGTGAGAGTGGACGAATGGATCAGCCCTAGGCAGTCAGGGGTTGGGGGTGGGGGAAAGAGACGCCGGGGGCTTTCCCAGTGGCAGGATCGGACGCTCGCGTAGCGGCGCTGAGTCTCGGTCCGGTCGGTCCGCTCTCCTTTTCCCGCTGGTCACAGATGCTGAAGCCGTTGGTGGAGAAGCGGCGCCGGGACCGCATCAACCGCAGCCTGGAAGAGCTGCGGCTTCTACTGCTGGAGAGGACCAGGGACCAGGTCAGTTCCACCGCCGATCCCAGGCCCTTTAGTGTGTCCCAGGGCTTTCCACTGGGGTGGGGACATAAGCTGGAGTGGTGACCCTGGTTCTAAGGCGTCCTGACCCAAGCCTGGCCTTTGAAATCCCATCCCACACCCCATCTCGCTCTCAGAATTCGATCTTCGCCACCTTGCGGGTCTGTAAGTTTCCTGTCTGGCTCTGTAAACTGAGCTTCCAGCGTGCCTCAGTTTCCCCCATTGGGTTTCTAAATGTCCTCATCTACCTCCTGCCCCCGGAGCAGCCAGCTTCAGTTCTGCGGTGGTTTTCACCATCCGAGTTGCTGTTTCCTACACACTCCTCACAAGTTGGGAAATGGTTCCACTCCCTCAGGTTGGACAGTCTCGTCTCAGGGTGGGACAGGGACCTTTGTTGGTCACCTCCACATTCGGTTGCGAGTCATGGGGGCACCCGCAGCTCCCGTATCCGCCCCTCCCTTCTTCCCCCAGCCACTTTCCCCCTCTCTCCCCACCCCTTTCTGTCTCTGCGCCCCGCCTCCCTCCGTCTGTAGAACCTCCGGAACCCGAAGCTGGAGAAAGCGGAGATTCTGGAGTTCGCCGTGGGCTACTTGAGGGAGCGAAGCCGGGTGGAGCCCCCGGGTACAGCGCGGGAGTTGGGGCAGCGGAGGGCGGGAGGGTGGGTGCGAGCCGGGAAGGCTCGGGCTGGGGAAGGGGCGGGCTCCGCGGTGGATGGGGGCTTGGGGGAGCGGCCGGCTGTGCTCCGAGGCGAGGTTAATGACACCTGCGCGTGTCTGTCTCTGTGTCTCTCTCGTTCCCCTCCTCTACACGTCCATCTGGTCTCCCGTCTCTGTCTGTGCGCCCGTCTGACCTCGGGATCTCTGCGCCCCGCCCCTTCCCTCTCCCCCATTGGGCCCCTGCCCTGCCCGCCTGTCCTCCCGCCGGCTGCACCAGGGGCTCCCCGGTCCCCAGGCCAGGACGCCGAGGCGCTCGCCAGCTGCTACTTGTCCGGTTTCCGCGAGTGCCTGCTTCGCTTGGCGGCCTTTGCGCACGACGCCAGCCCGGCCGCCCGCTCCCAGCTTTTCTCCGCGCTGCACGGCTACCGGCGCCCCAAACCACCCAGGCCAGAGGCCGTAGATCCAGGGCTCCCAGCGCCGCGCCCACCGCTGGACCCTGCTGCACCCACCCTTGGCCCCGCGCTGCACCAGCGCCCCCAAGTGCACCAGGGAGCCCCTAGTCCCCGCTGCGCTTGGTCCCCATCCCACTGCTCCCCTCACGCCGGGGATTCCGGCGCGCCGGCGCCCCTCACCGGACTGCTGCCGCCGCCGCCGCCGCCTTACAGACAAGACGGGGCGCCCAAGGCCCCGCCACTCCCACCGCCCGCCTTTTGGAGACCTTGGCCCTGAGCTTTGGGGGGGCTGGGGCGGGGGTTGGAGGTGGGGTAGAGACTCCAGCCAGAGGGCAGGAGAGGGATCCGGGCGAGGAGGGCAGCGGGGCGCGCGGGCTCAGCGCGCGGGTGAGATGTGGTTTATATTAGAGTATCTATATAAATATATATTTTCCTGTCCCTTTTCCCTGCCCCGCTACCCTGTGTGTAGGATTGTACCCTCTCTCCCCCGGCCCAGTCCCTTCCCGAGTCCCTAGTGCATGGAATAAAATGGTTATTAAATCCCGGTGTGTCCCCTAGCCAGGGGCCTGCCTCTATATCGGCGTCACGCCCTACCCTTCTCCCACCTTTAGGCCTGCTCTCCACGGCCCAAGCCGTTGGGGGGCAGACAGGTAAGTAAGGAGTTGAGCGACAGACAGAGGTTGAGACTGGACTTGAAAATAAAGTGGGTGTTTTGTTTTTTAATGAAAGCCAAGAGAAGATAAATAAAACCATAAAACCGACTCTGGTGGGATTCGAACCCACAACCTTTGAATTGCTTTTTCGTCACTAGAAGTCCAATGCGCTATCCATTGCGCCACAGAGCCACCTGGCGGGCGGCGCCTTCTTCCAGCATACGGAGACTAGCATAGAGAACAAGGCTAGCGCGGGAGAATGTGCACAAAGATTGGGCGGAGCGTCAGAATAGCTGGAGAAGGGCTCAGAGGCCGGCGGGAGGAGATGTAGCCCACGCGTGAGCTAGGCGGGCATGAGGGTGGACGCCGGTGCAAGGAGCAGGGAGGGACAGTCACGGGATGTGAGCTCGCCAGCAGGGCACAGTTCAGGTTGCTCCTTGCGCTACCGAGCGCAGACTTCCGCGGTTCCCAGGCTTGATCCCACTAAATAAACGTGCTTTGTCGTAAGTCTCTGTGTCTCGTGGTTCGTTTGTTTAGCCTCTTTACTAAGTCGTTCAGGGTCCCTGTGGCTCCTCATTCCGGTTTTGAAATACACAGCAAAAGAATTTCGGGTCACTTCCCGGTTGTGAGGCGTGCACAGCTGTCCTACTCTCTTAGGAAGACGACAGGGAAACGCACTTTTCGTGCGGGTAGCGTGGCCGAGCGGTCTAAGGCGCTGGATTTAGGCTCCAGTCTCTTCGGAGGCGTGGGTTCGAATCCCACCGCTGCCACATTAGAGTTTTTCTTCGGAGGTGTTCTGGCTACAGTTGTAGACGCTTATTCCTTTTCGAATAATCAGTTTTATACAACCATTGGTTGGCTAGTGTTTCTTCATTAGCTTTCTTTGTTTGGCTTGCCAACAGAGCGCCAGACCCATTCCCTATTCATACGGATGTTTAAGCAACCTTTATCTCCACTGTAATCATGTCAATATATATTATGTTGTATTGTATTTTGTATTGTATATTCAAATCCGGCGCAGATCCCAGTGTATGTAAATTATTTTCTATAAGTTCTACGTGACGGTCCGTAATACAGAGTGAAACTACTCAATATATGAAACAGATAAATTTCAAAGTTATTTAAAAGGAAAAAAAGCTTTGAAAAAAATTTTCGAAGTTATTAAAAGAAAAGGTAAGGTTCCACCGAGATTTGAACTCGGATCGCTGGATTCAGAGTCCAGAGTGCTAACCATTACACCATGGAACCCCTTCACCCTGTCCGCTATCGGAAATTACATACATTATTCTACATTCTATTTTTCGTATCATTCCATCTTTAGCATTTATCGAAACAAAACAAAGCAATGGCATGAAAAAGTCAACTACTAGATGTCGTTATCGAGTACATGAGATATGAATGCTTCTTCTAAACCTGAAGATTACAAAAGAAGTCCAAAACTTAAGTCAAAATTGCTGATTTTAAAATACCAACTTCAAGTTAAAATAAAAATTTCAAATATTGTATTAATTGAAATAAACTATTAAAAGCAATTTCATCAACTCCTTTTTACTCTTCTTGTGGCTTTTAGGAAAATTAATCTCATATTCGTGGTTTACACAGACACTGCTCTTCCCTTTTATTATCACTGGTCGGCATTCTGTTCCCAATTCACTTATCTACATCTCCTGGTAAAAGAAGTCAAGCATTTTGTTACCACATCGATCTCGTAAAAGAACGACCTGTCAGCAGCGCTTTGTAGGTAGAGTTTTCCAAAAAGAGCTGAGCGCCCGAACAGGGACTTGAACCCTGGACCCTCAGATTAAAAGTCTGATGCTCTACCGACTGAGCTATCCGGGCCCTTACGCTCGTTTTGCACTCTTCTCTAAAAGAGTATTTTCAGGCACCTCCGCAGTCCACATTTACCTAAACGACAAGGATGTACTTTCGCGTCTAGAACCCTGACATGACGACGCCTACCTGCTAATGCCTGCGCCTTTCTTACAGGTCTGTCTTAGACGGTCGCAGGGGCGGGAGCCGCGCATGCTGGAATCCCGAGGCGCCTAGACCGGCCGCGCGGGGCCGCTGCGGGCTACGGGTTGCCCTGGTCCAGCCTATCTTTCGTCCCTCGCCCTTGTGACCTAGATCCCGGCTCCTAGGGCACGTGGGTTGCCTCCCACGGTCTAGCAGGCAGGCTGAGGGAGGGCTGGAGCGTGAAGAATGTCACACGGGGGCCTCCAGATGCTGCCCGGCAGGCCTCCATTCACTAGGCAGGCCCTGTTCCACGGGCGCCATAGAGATCGGGAATATCAAAACCTGGGGACAGAGAGGGGACTAGGCTTGAGGAAAAAACGGGTGTTTGGGTGGCAAGATGGAGACCTTGACCACCTGCCGCGTGCTGAGAGGACTGTTTACTTGCTGAGAGCGTGCTGTTTACTTCGTTGTTGCTGAGGGAGGTCACGTGTGACTTATGGGTTGGTGCAGTTTTCCGACGTACGGTGTGATTCACATGGTTGATTCACATGTAGGAATTCTGGTGCTCTCGTGCCCGTTTCTGGTTTGGAAACAGGAGGAAAAGGGTCTGCGTGGAAACAGGGGAGAGGGTGAACATGGGCCTCAGGAGGTTAGTCAAGCCTCTGATCAAGCAGAGGGTAGTGTCCCAGTCACACACGCGTCACCTCCTCCCTGTCTCCCTCTCGGCATTTGGTTCCTCCTCCCTTCTTCCCTCCCTCCTCGATGGACCTAGTCTCCTGATATCCATCTGGATGAGCCAGCCAGAGGGACCGGCTCTATCAGAGACAAGCAAACAACTGTGGGCGGGGAGAGCACTCCTGAGCTACCAGTGGAGCTCCGGTGAGAAGGAGAGAGAGCGAGCGAGCCCAGGAACATCTCAGAGCTGGGCCCCTCTCCAGGCTCACCCTCCCCCAACCCCTATCCTTCTTCTGCCCAGGAGACGACTCTGCTCTGCCTGTAGCTCACCTTCTCTGGGCCAGCTACTGTTTTTGGTTATTGACTCCCACCATGGCAGTTTACCGCCTGTGTGTAACCACTGGTTCCTACCTGAAGGCTGGCACACTGGACAACATCTATGCTACTTTGGTGGGCACCTGTGGTGAGAGCCCCAAGCAGAGGCTGGATCGTGTGGGCAGGGACTTTGCCTCTGGATCGGTGAGTACACAGGAGAGATTGGGGACCTCTAAGGAACAAACCTCTAAGGTTCAGACCTCACGGAGAACCTGATAGAGCTGAGGGTTACTCTTGTTAGATTCCTCAAGTCTTGCTGAACTCAGGATGATGACCATAACTTTATCACCATTTCATTTCATTTTGAACGATGAGACAAGGCTGTGGAGAAGAAGCACTTACAAGCGGCTCTGGGGACTTTCTCTGGCTTCCTGGCTCCTCCTCCTATTTATTGTTGTTGTTGTTAGTGGTTTTTCCAGACAGGATTTCTCTGTGCAACCTCGACTGTCCTGACGCTCACTCTGTAGACCAACCAGGCTGGCCTCGAACTCAGAGAAGTGCCTGCTTCTGCCCCTTGAGCGCTGGGCTTAAAGGCGCGCATCACCACTGCTTGGCCCGGCTCCTCCCTTTAGTGACCCTAGAATTTTGCCAAAGCTTCCTCACTTTGACCATGGATTTCCTGTTCTCTGGAAGGGGGTTGCTTCCATTTTTCCGCCGCTAGGAGAGTTTGCCCTACATAAAAGTGCACTATTGGCCAAGGAGGCTAGGAATGCTAGCAAAACTCCGCACAGGCACTAAGTGTGGTGCCTATTTCTATATGAAGACAGGCTCTTTTTTTCATTCACACAAAGGAACCACATGAATTAGCAAGCGCTCAGGCTTATCTGCCAGAATAAATGGAGGTTCTAATGCACCTTTCCCAGTGCAAAGATGCCGCGGCAGTTCCTTCTCTCACTGTCTTGCTTGCGCCTCCATCACTCCAGGTTCAGAAGTACAAGGTGCGCTGCGCAGCAGAACTGGGTGAGATCTTGCTGTTGCGCTTACACAAGGAGCGCTTTGCTTTCTTCCGCAAGGACCCCTGGTACTGCAGTCGCATCAGCGTCACTGCCCCAGACGGCACGGTGACTCACTTTCCCAGCTATCAGTGGATTGAGGGCTACTGTACCGTGGAGCTGCGGCCAGGAACAGGTGGGCCAGGGCCAGGGACTGCACAGTACTGCAGCAGCTTCTTTTGGGATTAGGAATCGAGTCTCTCAGAATTCAGGGTGTAGGGAAATAGGACTGGGGTTAGGAATGCTGGGATCTAAAAGTAGATAACTTTTGATAAAGAGCATTGTTAAGCCCCGACATACAAGCGCTTTCTGAGTAGTGTTTTTTCCTCCGGAGGCACACACAGGTAGGCACACACAGACAGCCACACACAGATGGGCACACACAGGCGGGCACACACAGACAGCCACACACAGACAGGCACACATAGACAGGCACACACAGGCAGTCACACAGGCAGGTACACACAGACAGACATACACAGACAGACATACAC